ATATTCATCAGCTTTCCAGGTGTGCCCTTTGATATGAGCATACAGAGAGATCAGGTCATTCTCTGGTCAGTTTCACCTTCAAGAGAGGCAACGAATCCATGTATCTCTCTCACATCGATGTTTCTCTCTCTGTCTCTCTCCCTTCCTCTTCTAAAGTCAATAAAAAAAATTTTTTTTTAAAAGAATGTTACTGGAAAGGGACTGAGACCAAGGCAGATTTGCCCCAGCATGGTCTGGAATGTGTAAACCATTTGTTCCAAAATGTCCTTGGAGAGGGAAGATCAGATCTCTCAATTTATTAGCTGGCTGTAAATTGCTCAGCCATCTGTTTAGCTGTCTCAGTTTCCGCATTCCACTTGCCAAGGAATTTTTCTAGCTTCTTACTAACCTGCCTCAAAACCTAATTTTATTAACCAACGTCATCCCAATAAACTTAAATGAATGAATGAATGACTCAATTAATAAATAAATAAATGAAATACACAGTGCCTTCTGTACCAGAATTACAGTCAGTGTGATGAGAGGTTCAAAACAGGCACAGAGATGTTCTCCATATCATTACCAGTCTTGGTTATATATTCATAAAAAGGAATAAGTATAGTAGAATCTATAAAAGATTAAATGTTCACATGCTATGATTCTACTGCATTATTTTGCTCTTGAAAGTATGAGCTGAAAATTTTATTCCATTAGATTTGCATATAATTTAGTGTCTAAAATCCCCAGTACTCGACCCAGGGCATGATAAACTGGTGCTACATTTTTAAAGTCTTGGGGCAGAATTAGATAGTTGTGTACACCATTATTCATTCCCATCAGCCTCTGTAGTGCTAGAATATCAAATTTATTCAATGTGGCAATGTGCCCAGCCAAAGGAATTACATTACAAAGGAAGTCCTCCTTATGCTAATGTGGCCGGTTTGAATAATGACAAATACACCAAAATATTGTGTGAACATTTTTCAGTAAGTTTCCTGGAAAAGGAGGTGAGATATCCCCTTATCCTGCTGCCTGGAATATATGTGATGTCCGGAGTTCTAGTCACTGTTTTGCACCATAAGGACAGAGGCCATATTCTAAGGATGTCAGACCAGTGAAGTGGAAGCTGCTTAGATCCCTGATGACTTTAAGGAGTTGCTATGCCAGGTCTGAACAGCCTTTGTTATTTGGGTTTTTCTGTTATATATAGGCAAACCTAATTTTACAGAAATTGGTTTCAACATATTTTCAAATGTCTGTCAGTCTAACTGTAGCTGCTCACATCTTTATGAATACACAGATGCCTACAAATGCATTTTTAGTATCTTCTTTGGAAAGTATACCTACATAAATAGAAAATGCTCCCAATGACTTTCTTGATTTTTATTTTATTCTGCAATATTTTATGTCCATTTGACCTCCTTCTTCTTCTGGTTTGCATTCAGTCAGATATGCTTTAACCCCACCCCCGATTTGCTGTGTAACTGTCTGCATTTCTGTGGGTGGAGAGGTAAGTGCTTTGTGGGCCGAGGGAAGAGTTGGGGAAGCCTGATCTTAAGTATTTTCAGGAATTAAACCCACCTACATTTGTTATATCAGATAGATTTGCTATTACTTCTGCTATTTCTGTCTACTTGCTGTTTTTAGCCCTCATAGCTGTTTGTGCTGTTTTCTGCTTTACCTGAGGTATAGATTAAGCAAGCTGGGCTTCTACCTCACCAGTTTTCTTCAGTGTTATCCTTTTTACTCCTTTTGCTGAAACCTAGACTTGTTTTCAGGTCTTCTGACATCCTGCTTTCTTTCTCTTTTGCAATGCTTTGCACATGATTTGCCCCATTTACCCACTTCTCACCCTTCAGATCTCAGCTCAAAGTTTACTTCTCCCACTGAGTTGGATATGCTGGACACATGGTCATGGCATACCATACACCTTTCTTCATAGAAATTAGCACAGTTGTAATTTTTTATTAACTAGTGAAATCACATGTTTAATGTGTTTCTCTCCAACTAGGTTTAAAACTCCATGAAAATGGGATCTGTGTCTTTGTTCCTCACCTTCCTAGTGCTCAACACAGTGCGTATTGCAGAGTGAGCATTCAGTAAACAGAATCATCTTACCCATGTCGACAAACCTGATAATTCAGTGAACTTGGGCCGCAGACAGGTAGTTGGAGTTGCATGTAAATGTAACATACCTGCGCTCTAAAAGCAAATGCCAGGAAGTGCAGATTATAGCATACCTCAGAAATTTGGCAGGTTTGGTTCCAGACCACTACAATAAAGCCAGTGTCTCAAAAAAGCAAGTCATAATCTCTGTGCTGGTGGAGGGTCTTGCCTACAATTTGTAAACATGCAACATCTGTGAAGTATAATAAAGCTAAAGGCAGTAAAGCAAGGTATGTCTATACCTACACTGGCACTCTCAATTTGATAAATCTGTAAGTAGTACTTCTCAATGGGAACTGAAGGTTGTTTAATAGATTTTGTAAAATATTGAATTGTGAATAGCAAAGGGTAAGTTTAAAATCTGAGGACAAAAGAAGATAAAATGATGTACAAGTGAAATAACTTAGAAAGCAAATGAAATTAAAATTAAGGAGAATAAATAAATCAAATTCAAGAAAATTTTAGGTCTGCATGTCACCACCATCTCACCCACTAGAATTCACATTATAAATTACTACTAGAGATATCCTGCTAAAGAACAGACCTGCTGCCCTGGTCCGCATGGCTCAGTGGTTAGTGTTGGCCTGCATACCAAAGGGTCATGGGCACGTACCTGGGTTGCAAGTTCGATCACTGCCCCTGGTCTGGGCATGTGGGGGAGGCAACCAATTGATGTTTCTCTCTCCTCTCTCTCCCCCTATTTAGCCCTCTCCCTTCATCCTTCTAGAAATCAATGGAAAAAATAACCTCATTCCTCCAGTGAGGATTAAAAAAAAAAAATTAAAAAAAAAAATGAGGAACAGGTCTGCTGATGTCACATCTTTGCACAATCTTTTAAGGGCTCTCCATGGACCACAACAGATAAAGCACTGCTTATTGTTGAGTATATTCATAAAATAATGAACTATAATTTTTATCATTTATTCTTTATGGATTTTATTGTTAGATATTTGGGGAAAAGTTGACTTTCCCATTCATGATTTCAAGTAATTCTCAGCTTGAAGCAATAAGCACAGATTTTAAAATAATTTAATGAGTCCAGGCATACTTCAATGCCTAACATCCCGCAGGAACTGGCAATTTAATTCCTAGTTGGGTTATTTTCATGTGCAATGTCTTAATTTTCAGGGGTTGAAATCATGCATGACAAACTAATTTCCTTCATTATGTTAGAGGATACACTAAGTACCACAAAGAGATTGTAGAGAGTAAATCAATTTAAGTGTGCAGAATAATATGTGAATTTGGTTTCATATCATAGTTTGGGAATAAACCTAATAATCTATTCTTATAATTGTTAAAAAAGATGTGTTTGAGGTTGTTTGGGGGTTCTGGTTCAAGATAGTGACATAAGAAAATCCTAGGTTCACTTTCCCCTGCGAACACACTAAATCTGCAGCTACATACATACATATGGTCCAATTTCCTCTGAAAAAAAAAACACCTGAAACCTGAGCAACTCTTATGCCTCAGGCCCACCTCATTAAAGTGGGAAGGAGAGAATGGGACACAATCTCACCATAACCCTCTGATTGACAATGTCCTAGTCTTGCTGAGAAAGACCTATTTTGTTGTCCTGGAGCTAGAGCTCTCAGGCGTAAGACCGGAACGCAATCTCTGAGCTAGCCCTCCGCCTCACTGCTTCTCACCTGTATGTCCCAGGCCGGAGCTTATACCCTGTCTGGTGCCCCAATTCTGCAGCTGCTGCCAGGGCACACCTCTACACTGCCAGGCTCTGGTGGCCAGTGGGGCTTATGCTCCCTGGTCTCGCAGTACTGCCACCAAGGGAGAGAGTTCTGAAATAAATGCCACTCCCAGGGCACAGCAAGAGGCAACAGACCCAGGGAAAGACCGGCCTATTAGCTTATCCTAGCTGCACCTGAGGAACAGGCTTCTTATTAAATACACATTTCAGGGCTGACTATAATCCCTTCCAGGGAGTTTGAAGGGCTGGCACTATCTTCGCACTCTCCCCCAACCACCTCAGAATGCCACAACTGTTACTGTAACTGTAGTGAATAATGCATTGCATGAAACATATATTGTATGTCAACTGTATTTGAAAAATTTTAAAAATTTTAAAATGCTGTATTACATATTTGAAAGTAGCTAAAAGAGTAGATCTTGAAAGTTTCCATCACAAGAAAAGAAATTATAACTATATATGGTGATGGATATTAACTGGACTTATTGTGGCGATCATTTTGCAATATATACGAATACTGAATCATTACATTGTACATTGAAACTGAAATATGTTATGTCAATTATGCCTCAATTAAAAGAAAAAAAGTATTTTGAGCTGCACACTATTTACTGGGGGTAGCAACTATCATAAACACTTACTCCAGTTGGTGAGCCTCAAGTAAGGATGAACACTTCGCAGGTTTTCAATGAGCCCTTGTGGATTTTCATTTTTGCTCTGGTATGACTGCCTAGTCTTGGATATATACTGATGGAAGCTCTCTGCAGACCTCTACTGAGGACTGTGGTACAGAATGATGGCCTAAAAAATTATCTAATTTTCATCTTCTGAAGCAGATTTTCATCAAGAGAATGGAGAGAAAATCCTTACTGACACAATATCCAAACTTTCTGTTTTCCAGCAGATAGTAAAACTAAATGGATAATTCGTATAACTACAATATTAAAATAATCCCTGACAAGAAAGTCGTGGTGAAAATATATCATTTCTTCCTCAGAGTTTAGGAAATATAAAGCACAATTTTATACAACAGAAATATTCGAAATTTCATTCTTCCATTAGTTCTAAATTAACATGACAAAAGCTTGCCAATGAACCATAGGAAATTCATCTTCCAGGTAATGAAAACCAAATAAAATAAGCAACTGCAAATAATACAAACAACACATTTATTTAGAAAAATAAACTGAAAATGCTGTTTGTTTGTCTGGTACATTTTCCCATGAAGCATAGATAAATGGCTATAAAAAATTGTTATTATGTCAAATACAAATTACAAATGATTTTTTTTTAATTCAGAGAACAAACAGATGTTCAACACAAATGTTTAATGTACAGTTCACTGTATTTGACTTCTTGGCTGTTAATGATATAAAATGATCTTCATTAAAAAAAATTGATCCCTTTTTCATTCATTTGACCACACTGACGCTTTTTCATCATAATTCTGTAGTTGTCATTTTAATGAAACGAGACCATTTGTTTTTTAGATAACTGATTTTTATGGAATAAAGAAATCAGAATTCATAAGTGTTTCCTTTTTGGACTCCTGCAAGAAACTGCCTGTTGTGGTCTCAAAACTCATGGGACCATCTGTGCAAATAACAGCACACATCTTTACCCTGAATGGAAGTGACAGTGCAAATATCAGAAGTGCATTGAGAAACAATCAGTAAGAACTGAACCCCCCCCTCTCGCAACCAATATGGAGTGAAGGATTGAATGCAGAAACTTTTCAAGCAATTGACAAGAATGCTGTTATTCCATTATGGCTTTAAGGGTATGCACAAGGTGGCAAACATCCTCTCTGCAAACAGCAACGTTCTGTCCTAACACTGTTCATTGCTGCGATGCTCCTCTGTTCAGTTTCTTTTTGCCTACATGTTTGTTTGAAATGCTGATTAATTCTGGCTTGAGATAACTCCTATCTCTATACTTTTACCTTCCCAAATGATAAATCAATGGATAATTTACTAGCTTAACTAGCTGAATATACATTTTCATGGGTTCACATCTGGGAATATTTATTTTCATGGTGCAGTAAGATGGATTTCGTTTGGTTTGTTTTTTTGTTGGCTTGATTGTTTGTTCCTTTTCATCTATTTTTTAAAAAATCTTCTTGGTAATTTCTGAGTGAAGAGATTTAAGGCTGTGGCTTTTTTCGCCCCTAGGGCTCTGCTCATGGCTGTCAGACTAGAGGCAGATGATTTTATGCAGACCATATCAGTGATCACTTGTGCTCCAAAGTTGAAGGGATTTGCTGCTCTGAGATGGACAAGTTCCTGGTTATTTAAAAATTAGATCTGGCCTCAAGAAGTCACAATGATGAATCTGAAGTGAGAAAAATGAGCTGACATGCCTCCAAATAAAGATTTTCCTCCCAATCTGAAGGAGCTGTCAGAAGAATGAAAACAAAAGACAAAAGGTCAGTTTAAATAGTAAGTACAGTTCAACAAAAACACATAAAATTTATTAAGAATGAGGCAATCATTTGTTAATGCCTAATTTAAAATTATTATCAATAATTGTATTTTAAATGTCTAAACATATTTTAAACATATATTCCTCTTAAGTTTCATATATAAAATAATGTGACAAGTCAGTCATCAAAATTTAGTAGTAGCATGCTTATATTTCAATTAAAGATCTATCTTTGACAGTTTTTAAAACTTCAGATAAACTTGTCCACTTTAAATTCACCAAGTTCTCAAAAACTATATGTAATCTGAAAATATAAGAAATATCTTGAGATATTTATATCTTGATATATACCTTGATATATATACATATGTGTGTGTGTGTGTGTGTGTATATATATATATATATATCACTATTTAAAATAATAAAAAATCATTTTTAAGGTAGAGACTTCATTTAAAACAACAAAAAGCATTTAAAAACAGGTTGCATAATGTAATCTATCATTGCATTCTATATAGTCTAAATGTATTATCAAATCACCAAAAGGATACTACTCTTTTCCTTGATGTAGAAGAGCTCAAAGAATTAATCTGCCTTAATGAATACCTGCAATAGTTTTAAATTAGCACCTTCAAATAATTTATATCCATATTTGTAACTAATGAATATGTTTTTTGGAAAACAAGAAGAAATAAAACCTAGCCATAATTCTCACCCTGCCCACCCAACATTAAATATGTTTAGCACCCCTTTAAGTGCAGTGTGTCTATGGTCTTCTCTTTAAGTTATGATGTAATAGAGAATATTTATACAATGACTTACTAAAGTAGGTACAGAAAGTTATTAAACATAAACCTGGTACCATAATTTATTGACTAGTAAATTATTAGAAAAGTCACAGACAGAGAGTAATGGCTTTAAGTGCATTTTTAACCCCTTAAAGTCCATCTGAGAACCCCTGTTTTAACACTTTCATTTGGGGGTAGGTGAATTCCAAATGCATGGTACTTTCTTCGACAGAGAGACACAAACATACACATAGACCACAGAGTAAATCACTTGGTCTTTCTGTGGCAAACCATTTCCATTCTATTAGATGAATAAGAATTGTTTTTAATTATGTTACTCCCAACTAGCAAGACAAAGTTCTAGTACTAAATAATTAAAATAATCAAAATGAAAATAAAATCCTCCCTCCTAACTCCAAGATTAAAACTAGAAAAATCACCAAACACAATTAGTCAATGTGTGTTGAAAACACACTCTGGCTTATCGTGAAAGATGGTCTATGAAAGATACAGAAACAGTAGAAGACAATCTCTTATCATGGACTTGCTTATGAAAATGCAAGAGCATATCAGCACAGAGGAGTGAAGAAGACTGGACTAAACTCCCCTAAGCTGTACATAGTTCAACAGCATCACTTGCATTTGTCTATTTGTGCCATACTTTTTATGATTTATAAATATATGCTTCCATATACGGAAAGGAAATGGGCACTCAGGCTGTTACTAATGTACCATCAGCAATCTTACAATCATTCATATTTTGGTTTTACTATTAATTAAATATGAAAAAACATACAAAGGTGGCTTTCTGCTAATATATAGGAACATAATTCATGCAATTGGGGCAAAGATAATTAAACATGCCAATTGTGTTTTCATAGTTCTGTGATATAGGAGTCTTTAACAGTCTACATTATTATTACAGCTTATTAAGTTGGTGAAACAATCTATCATTTACTCAAAAATATGTATTCACTACCAACTGTTCTATGGTATATCAGAATCATGGATACAAAAATGTAATTTCTTGATCTCCAAGGTCTTAATACCCAGAGGTAAGAAGAAACACTAATATTCATAGTAAAGGATTTGTGCCATAATACGTATCAGTATGAAATAGAAAGTGAGCATAGGAGTAGAGGCCTACAGATGATGGCATTTGAGCTGAGATTTGAGTAATGGGTTGGAGTTTGCAAAAGTAATACATTTCTATTAGTTAAAAAATAAAGAGTATTTCGAACAGAGGGAACTGCCTGGGCAAAGGCACAGAAACAGGGGGGAGCATGGTACCATCAATACTGTGTAGTATGAAACTGAAGGGAGAAAATAAAGCTGTTTCTAGAGTGTCTGGAGAAAGTGTGGAAAGTACGATGGAGGGGGAGAGACACTACATATGGCAGACATTTACAGCAAAGAAAAAACAAAGCCATAAGCTGAATGCAAAAACTAATAACTCAAGTTGCAGATGCTCTCTTAGTAGCAAATTGAAAAGAGCAAAATAACCCATTCATTCTTACTTAAATAAGAGAGGGTTTTCGTGCTAGGGGCTCCCAGCCTCCGGGTGCACACATAGGAGTGCAGAAGTCATCACGTGGGGCGCTGAGGATCCAGGTGCGGGTGGCTGCAGCAGCTGATGCGGGGTTGAGTCATTTGTGAGACCCAGAGTTGCTGACCCAGTGGGCAGCCCACCAACCCCACGACACAGCAGCAGGCGTGGGGTGTGGGAGCCCTGAACTGGCAGCATCATGGAGCTGGGCCGAGCCCCATCCGCTGCCAGCAAACCGCTGGCTGGGCAGGCACGCCCCACTCTGTGCTGTTTCTCTGACCACCTCCACCTCTGGGGCCATGGCCAAGCACAATCAGATCCTGGCCCTTGACCCTCCCACAGACCTCAAATTCACAGACCCCTTCACAGATGTAGTCACTACAAATCTTCAGTTGCTAAATCCATCGGATAGAAAAGTATGTTTCAAAGTTAAGACTACAGTACCTGTCAGTGCTGTGTGAGGCCCAACAGTAGAATTACTGACCCAGGGTTGACTGTGACTGTAATGGATTCTAAATTGAGATGTGTTTTTGAAGTGCCCGAAGAAAATGATAAACTGAATGATGGACCCTAGCAAAGCTGTTCTGCTGAATGTATCTAAACAAGATAGAACTACGCCAAAACAACATATTGCTTCACTCAATGATATTGAAACAAGGAAACTCATGGAAGAGTGTAAAAGACTTTAGGGAGAAATGATGAAGCTGTCAGAAGAACACTGACACTGAGAGACAAAGGCTTAATTAAGGCTCAGAATGGTGGCATACAGGTAAACCTGCATGGATTTCCACAGCATCCTTCAAAGATAATGTCACCAATACTCTTCCTTCACTTCTTGTAACTGCAGCCATTTTCAATGTGTGCTTTCTAGGGAAATTCATCTTCTAGAGTGAAGCACGCATAGTGCTATTTCCTTTATTTTCTCTTGGCCAGAAAAAGATTTGTTTACCTACCATTTCATTGGTAGTATGGCCCACAGTGACCATTTTTGTGTGTGAGTACGTCATATAGGCTTTGCCCTCTAACGATCGCTTACATTGGAAAACACAATAAAAACAAACTGTTCCACTACTGGACAGACTGTATATGACCAGATCATCACTAGAAAATGTTTGTTACACATTCAGTCTTTTATGAAATTCATAAATAAGAATTGTCTCTCTTTGTGGCTTTAATAAGTGTTCAAGAAGTGTTCAGTCTTATAAATGTGATTTTAATAATCCCTTTAAATTTTATGTTGCTGTTACCTCTTGAAATATGATTTATTTAGATTGCTAATCTCACTCATTCAGGAACTGCCAAGAAGTATCCTGTGGGGAAATGTTGCTTCTTATAGTGTAAAATTTCTCCTTTACCTTTGCTAATATCATGGCAGAGTTTTTCTTATCCCTTCTGAGGCAGTTATTGACTAAGTTTTTAATCCTGTCCTATGGTATTTAACATAAAAAGTAAATAAAACTGTTAACAGGTTTCTGCTCAATAAAAAAAAAGTTTTGTTCATTTTATATCTATTTAAGATAAGAACTAACATTATTTATGAATCTATCCTTGTTCCACCAATTTTTTAAGGTATCTCCTGGAAGCAGATATTCGCCTCACAGCCCTCAGCGACCATACATTAAAAGCAGAGAATAAAATCTTCGAACCAGTAGATGTCTGTTTCTACTGTTTGAATTCTAACACTGGGTGTTGATGGAATGCATTTAAGTCTTGCTGAGTTTTGAAAATTTGTTGCAGATATCTGAGCCTCTCCCTGTATGGTAACAGACATCATATTCAATCTCTTAACCTCAGGCTCAAATATTTTTCCCACTAAACAGAAGATCCGAGTAACTTCAGGTATAATTTGCTAATTTTTTAAAAAATCGTGAACTTCCACTATTATAGGTTTTAAAATACATTTTTAAACCTCTACACGTTTTGTATTTTTGCCTCACATATGGAGACATGAAACATATTATCATGACTACACAAGTTAAGCAAATGTACTCAGCATTGTAATAATGAAAGATGAATCACAGGCGCCAAGGTCCTGCGTAGCCAACAGCAAGCTGAAGTGCTTGTGGGAATGCTCTCTGACTCACTTCAGATCCGTGGTTAATTGCTTCATTCTATTCAAAAGGCCTCTGCTTAAAACTAATTAAAATTTTCTCCACTTTTTGAATAGAACAAGTCAAAGTTTGCAAGCAAGGCAAGGGTCATTTTTAAAATTTTGCTAAATTTTTCCAGACACAAATATGATATGCAAAAATATGAATGATACTAGATCATGTTTATAGGCTTTGAGTCATTAAATGTCAAGTTAGTTATTTAGGTAACTAGCATCTTTTCTTTTTTTTTTTTGGCAAACTTGTCTCTCTCACCTTAACAAGAAGGCGCTATGGGAGACTTTTATTCCAGGAGCATAGTCAAAGGCACCAAAGGCCGACCCAGGTATGAGAAAGCCCGAGTTTCCCGCAGCATAGGGACAGGTGACGTCATGTGACTCCCCACAGGTCAGATCCTGGAGTCTAGTGTAGGCATGAAGCTGCACCCCTGAAAGGCTCGTCCTCTGTCCCGGTGCGTGGGCTGAGGCTGCCTCTCCCCACTTCCTCCCATTAGCAAAGTGAACCACGTGCGCACACGAGGCACGGGAGGCT